CAAAGAGTCAGACATGACTTAGTGACTGAACAACCGGGTCTTGGTTGCAGCATGCAGAAACTTAGTTGCTGCATGTGGGATCTCGTTTCCTGACTAGGAATCAAACTTAGGCCCCCTGCATTGGGAGTGCAGGGTCTTAGCCATTGGATCACCAGGGAAGTCCCCTGTTGATGTTATTTTTAAGCCCTTTCTTGTGGAAGTTAAACTATACGAACACCTCCAGACAGCAACTCAGAAACGGGATGCACGCTTTTCACTGTTGGGTTTTGGGGAGGCCGTGATAGTGGTTCTGAGACCACAAGATGTGTTACATTGTATCCAGTACAGCTTGGGGTTCACGAAGGACGGGGACAGATCAGTAACTGAGCCCATTCAACCAATGCTTATTTAGGAATGTCTGTGTAGCTGGTGGGGCTTCCCAGGTGGCACTCGTGGTAAAGAACCTTTCTGCCAATGCAGGAGATGTAAGAGATGTGGGTTCGAACCCTGGGTCGGGAAGATCCCCCGGAGGTGGGCATAGCAACCCACTCCAGTATTCTTGCCTGGAAAATCCCACAGTCAGAGGAACCTGATGGGCTACAGTCCATAGGGTCGCAAAGAGTTGGACGCGACTGAAATGACAGTGTGCATGCATGTAGCAGGTATTAGGCAGGCTATACAGAAATCAAAGAAAAAGTTCCTGCCTTCATGTGGTTAACATCTGTAAGGGGTGACTAGCTGTGAATCACACATGCTGTAAGTACAAAGAAAGGAACAGAATGGGATAGGAGTAGCGCAGGGGGCAATTCCAGCTGAAGTAGGAGGGAGGAGGAGTAGGGTAAGGAAAGTAGCTGAAAGCTGGAACTAGAAAAGTGGTTCTCCATCTGGCTGCCCCATCAGAACCTTTTAGGTCTCCCCTTCTAGATCATCAGTCTGTCCTTATGCCAACAGCAGACTACACTAATAAGTGCATTGCTTATAACGTTTGATACTTGTTCTTTTTCTTCTTCAGTGTTTTCTTGGCTATTCTTGACCCTTTCATTTTCATGTAAATTTCAGACTGCTCATCAGTGTCCACAAATAAACCTGCTGGGATTTGAATGGTTTTGCATGAAATGTAAATACCTGGTTAAGAATAGCTATCTTGACAACATTGTCTTATTAGCCCTTTTTTTCAGGTCATTTTACTTTCTCTAATATCGTGATTGAATTTTTGTATGTGTGTGCGGACTCTCGTCTGACTCTTTGCAACCCTATGGACTGTAGCCCGTCAGGCACCCCCCCTCCTCACCACCCCCCCCTCCCCCCGGCCTTTTCCAAAGGGAAGCCGAAACATTTCACCACTAACAGTGATGTTGTGGGGTTTTGGTTCTTATTAGATTGTTACTTTCTATCAGTTTACTTTCCATATGGCTAAGACTTACTGGTCGGAGGGTTAAAAACATGAGGATTCATAAATAGACCAGGTATATAATATAAGGTCCCTTGACTTATGACAAAGGCGCCACTTCCCTGCAATGGGAAAATTTTTTTTAGTAAAGTATGATTGATAATTGAATATAAATAGGAAACAAATAATCAACCCCCTCTTACACTGTACACAATAACTATTCAGGGAATTTATACCACAGTGCGGAAGATTAAACCACAAAGCTGCCAAAGATGGCTTAGAACGCTGGCCTCATGTGTTTGGTGTGGACAAAGATTTCCTAAGCAGGACACGGAAGACACGAATCATGAGGAATAGCTCTTCACCAAGGAGGGAGAAAAGGCTAGTACTGACTGGGGTAAGATATTTACAAATATCCAACAAAGTACTACACCTAGATACACCAAAAATGCTTCCAAATTTATCAACAGCAACAAACAAATCCAGACAACCCATGTTAAAACATGGTCAACAGACTTGAACGGGTTCTTCTCAAAGAAGATATCCCAAAAGGCTAACAGACCTGTGTGTGACCTCACTCTGTAACCACAGAACTGAGAAAGGAAGAGAAAAAGAAACCAACGTGCTGTGTGTTGGCAAGGATGGGTAGGGTAGGGTTCTCAGACAGCGTCTGCCCACAGCTCTTCAGGCCCCAGGACTTGGGTGCCTGCTGACCTGACCTCTGAAGCTGGCCACTGTCTCTCTCTCTGGCCGGCTGCTCTCTGGGCTCTAGAACAGCTCTGCCTGTAGAGAGCAGCGCCCGGCAGAGAGGTGTTGGGAATAGACACCACACCCCCCAACCAGCAGTAGCCCTAAGCCAAGACCAGCTGTGCTGGTGTGTGAATATCCCCTCTCCCTTGCCTCTGGTGTGTGTTCCAGACCATTTAAAGAGGGGTTGGGGACTTGAGCTCCCCCGTACAGGTGGCGCAAGTGGTAAGGAACCCGCCTGCCAACGCAGGAGATGAAAGAGATGCGGGTCCGACCCCTGGGTCAGGAAGACCCCCTAGAGTGGGAGACGGCCATCCACACCAGTATTCTTGGCTGGAGAATCCCATGGACAGAGGAGCCTGGCGGGCTATAGTGTGGGATCACAAAGAGTCGGACACGACTGAACGGCTTAGCAGGCACACGTGCCCGCAGTGGTTCTTCCTTCATCACATACCCTGTACTGGTGCTCCGCCCTTCACGTTTCACGTTTCACTTCCCCACTCCCTGCCATGATTTTGGGGGGCACTCAAATCCTCACTTCAGGGTCTACATGTAGGGAAACCCCAATGAAGACATGTGTTATAGTCCCTTAAAAATGTTTCCTTGCCAGAAAAAGTCATGGGAGGTCGCTCTTAATCTGCAAGGATAACAGTAGTTAATATTTCTTAGCATCGTTGTTGTTGTTATTTATTTGGACACTCAGTCGTGTCAAACTATTTGTGACCCCATGGGCTGTAGCTCACCAGGCTCCTCTGTCCATGGAATTCTCCAGGCAAGAGTACTGGAGTGGGTTGTCATTCCCTTCTCCAGGGGATCGAACCCGTGTCTCCTGCAGCGGCAGGCAGACTCTTTACCCACTGAGCCACCAGGGAAGCTCCATTTCACGGCACAGATTGCTGTGTATCAAGTCTTACCACCACTCTCCACGTGAAAAGCATACTTCCACCCACTTGGGTGGAAATCTGATCATACGGTCAAAAATCGTGCTGGAAATTTTCGAGTTTATCTCACCAAGTTGTTGTCTCTATTATATTGTTGTGAAAGTTGAAAATTACACGTGAAATAGGTTATTCAAGATTACAGGGACTTCCCTGGTGGTCCAGTGGCTAAGACTGGAAGCGCCCAATACAGGCGGCTTGGGTTTGATCTCTGGTCAGGGAACTAGATCCCACATGCCACAACTTAGAGTTTGTAGAAACTAAGACCTGGTGTAGCAAAATTTAAAAAATAGTCATCACATTACAGTTTTAGGATGAATTAATGGCACCCCACTCCAGTACTCTTGCCTGGAAAATCCCATGGACAGAGGTGCCTGGTAGGCTGCGGTCCATGGGGTCGCTAAGAGTCAGACACGACTGAGCGACTTCACTTCCACTTTTCACTTTCACGCATTGGAGAAGGAAATGGCAACCCACTCCAGTGTTCTTGCCTGGAGAATCCCAGGGACCGGGGAGTCTGATGGGCTGCTGCCTATGGGGTGGCAGAGAGTCGGACACAACTGAAGCGACTTAGCAGCAGCAGTAGCAGCAGATGTCTTAGGCTTGACAAGCAACCGTGATGTTGACCAGATTGTGAAGTGTCAGGATGAGAAGCTGGGAGAAGGCACTTTATCTCTCAGTGGGAAACCAAGTGCTGTATAAACAAGAGGAATGCAATGACCAGAGTTTGTGGGTACCCCTCTGACCTCAGGATGGAAGGTGGGTCGGGGGAAAGGATGGCAGGGTGGCCGTTTATGAAGTTGTTCCACTCATCCAGCGCTGAGATGGGGAGGTCTGAAATCAGGGTCTGCGGCCACAGAAATGGCAGGCAGGGTGGGGTCCACACGTCTTAGTGACCAACTAGACGTAGGGGCTGCTGGGGGGAACAGCGTCTCCTTTCAGATGTCTTTGGAATGTGGGTGATAATGGGAGTGTTTTCATCGAAGGCGCTTCAGCAAGTCACTGTTCTCGTGGCAGGGCTCCTCCTGGTGGTGGTAATAACCACAAACGGGGCTCAGCCTGGGTGCTGGCTGTGGTGGAGACACTAGGAAGCCCAGTGACACGAGTCCCTCCTCTTCTCGTGGTGGCCGAGAGCCCCGTAAAGAGAGACTGAGAGCTGGGCGACGGGTCGGGGAGGGTGGTCCAGTTCTGAGATGGGTACGTTTCTGGGCATGTTATGTCCAGCATGGAGACCACAGTGAGTAATTCTGTATCGCATACTTGAAAGTTGCTGAGACTGGATTTTTTTTTGATGATGTGGTTTTACTTATTTGTTTTAATTTGGCTGCGTCTGGTCTTAGCTGCAGCACGCAGGCTCAGTGGCCTGCCGCACGTGGGATCTTAGTCCCTCGACCAGGGATTGAAACTTCATTGAAGAGTCCCCGTCATGGCAAGACCGGGTCTTAACCCCTGGGCCACCAGGGCAGTCTCAAGAGAGTAAATCTTAAATGTTCTCATCACACACACACGAGTCTGTAACTGCTCAGCGATGGATCTGTTAGCTATACTTTCTTTCTCAATTCATGCAAATATCATATTATTACGCTGTACACCTTGAACTTATGAAATGTCCTGCATAAACTTGTTTAATCGCTCAGTCATGTCTCTTTGTGACTCCACGGACTGTCGCCCACCAGGCTCCTCTGTCCATGGGATTCTCCAGGCAAGAACACTGGAGAGGGTTGCCATGCCCTCCTGCAGGGGATCTTCCCGACCCAGGGATCCAACCTGCGTCTCTTACGTCTCCTGCGTTGGCAGGCGGGTTCTTAACCACCATGGCCACCACCAAATGTTGGCCAGGTGGCAATTTCAATCAAAGCAGTGTGTTAAACGAAACAAACCTCTGCGTGAGAGAACCCCAAGCGGAGGAGCGGAGCTCGCCCTGCCCACAGGACGCCGGCCCTTACCTTCCGATGGCCCCAGAGCTGGTTCCCCTTCATGCCGTGACAGTCGTACAGAGTGACGGGGCTGCTGTGGGACACGGCATCGAAGCAGAACTTCCGAGTGTGCAGGGGCTCGCCTGGCCGGATATCCTCTCTCCAGCCCAAGGTGAAGAGCTGATCGGGCGACAACAGCAGAAAAGCAACGGTGAGCGTAACTCGGAGAGATTGGCGAGAAGAAGTATGTCTTTCAGCAGTGAGGAACTCCTGGTTCCCGTTTTACAGGAAAATGACTTGGTGTGGGGGTGACAGAGGTGTTGAAAAGGCCAGGATCCTTGCACTCTGTGGCTAGACGGAGCACTGTTGGCCCAGGCTGGCCAAAAGACAAGCTTCCAGTTAGAGAGAGACACAGAGGGACAGAAGGAGGGGAGAAGCTATTTAATGATGCTCTTTATCATTCTTTTCTGTTTAAAAATTTTTTTTTGGCTATACCAGTTCTTACTTATAGCATGTTAACTCTTAGTTGCTGCATGCAGGATCTAGTTCCCTGACCAGGGATTGAACTCGGGTCCCCTGCATTGGGCTCATGGAGTCCTAACCACTGGACCACCAGGGACAGCCTTTTACATTCTTCATTTAGGTAAAAAATTAGTGAATTAAATGTTTCACATTCATGCGTGATAGGTCGCTTTAGTCATATACAACTCTTTGCAATCCATGGACTTTAGTCCACAGCTCCTCTGTCCATGGGATTCTCCAGGAAAGAATACTGGAGTGGGTTGCCATTTCATCGTCCAAGGGATCTTCCTGACACAGGGATCAAACCTGCGCCTCTTATGTCTCCTGCATTGGCAGGCAGGTTATCACTAGGGTCACCTGAAAAGCCCCAGATGCTACACATTTAGCCTAACTGAGCAGATTAACTGAAAAAAGACTAGTAGAATTGAGCTGGATGGATGCTAGCAAGCTGACAATTTTGATTTAAATGAAAGCTAAGTTTGATGTAGTAAATGATAAGCAAATTGATTTCCTGGGGTTGATAAGAGTAATCCTGCCGGGCAGTGTCAGAAGTTTGGAACTGTGACTCCCAGTAAGAGATACAGTTTACACACACACGGACTGCTCCCCTCACCCCCCACCCCCAGCTGAACAGAAGTTTCATGGAACATTTATCCTTTTTGCATTTAATAGACTTTGAGATTCCATCCAACCTGTTCCTGTCCTGGTCTGTTCTATTCCATCCATCCTATTATTTTAAAAATTTGACTTATGGATTCACTAATTTGATTTTTTTTGGTTGTTGTTCAGTCCTTAAAATGTGTCTGACTCTGTGACCCCATGGGCTTCAGCATACCAGGCTCCTCTGTCCTCCACTATCTCCTGGAGTTTCCTCAAGCTCATATCTTTGAGTCGGTGATGCCACCCAACAGTCTCATCCTCTGTTGCCCCCTTCTTCTCCTACCCTCAGTCTTTCCCAGCATCAGGGTCTTTACCAATGAGTTGGCTCTTTGCATCAGGTGGCCAAAGTATCAGAGCTTCAGCTTCAGCATCAGTCCTTCCAATGAATATTCAGGGTTGATCTCCTTTAGGATTGACTGGTTTGGTCTCTTTGCAGTCCAAGGGACTCTCAAGAGTCTTCTCCAACACGATAATTTGAAAGCATCAATTCTTTGTGTTTGGCCTTATTTATGGTCCAACTCTCACATCTGTACGTGACTACCAGAAAAATCATAACTTTGACCATACAGACTACATTGACTAAAATTTGATTTTGCAACGTGGTAAATTGAAAAAGTACAATTTTCATTTCTATAAGGAAAGGGTATTTTCTTGAGTTTGAGTTGAACAACCATTTGAGGGGTTCAGTGGGAGAAATCCTTAAGTCAGTAGGAACATGGACTAGACCAGCCCTTGGGGTTCTTCCAGATGTAACATCTCAGTGAGTGAGTACCATTTTTGTGACAGGACGTGTATGGGCCTCACTGTGAGGCCACACTGTGAGTCCAAAACAGAGAGCTGCCAGAAGCCCTCGTGGACGTGAAAACAAGGACCCTGCTGAACACATGCAGACCATGCACTGGGCTCTGACCAGGCGCTCAGATCATCCCAGCTTTGGGGTCTGACCTGGGTGAGAAAATGCGGCGAATCTGGCAAAACTCCAGGGATGGCATACTTGGCGGGGAAATGGCAGGGGAAAACAGCACAATGATCCGGTGTTACAGGTTCATCTGTTCTTCTTCAGATTCTTTTCCAGTATAGGTTATTAAAAAATATTGAACTTACGTCCTTGTTGGTTATCTATTTTAATTATAGTAGTATTTATATGTTAATCCCAAGCTCCTAATTTATACCATCCTCCACATTTAACTATAAGTTTTCTTTTTTGTCTGTGAGTCTATTACTATCTTGTCAGTCAGTCAGTTCAGTCGTTCAGTCCTGTCTGACTCATTGCAACACCATGAACCGCAGGACACCAGGCCTCCCTGTCCATCAACAATACCCGGAATTTACTCAAACTCATGTCCTTTGAGTCGGTGATGCCAGCCATCCAACCATCTCATCCTCTGTTGTCCCCTTCTCCTCCTGCCTTCAATCTTTCCCAGCATCAGGGTCCTTTCCAATGAGTCAGTTCTTTGCATCAGGGGGCCAAAGTATTGGAGTTTCAGCTTTAGCATCAGTCCTTCCAATGAATATTCACGACTGATTTCCTTTAGGATGGACTGGTTGGATCTCCTTGCAGTCCAAGGGACTCTCAAGAGTCTTCTCCAACACCACAGTTCAAAAGCATCAATTTTTCGGTGCTCAGCTTTCTTCACAGTCCAACACTCACATCCATACATGACCGCTGGAAAAACCATAGCCTTGACTAGATGAAACTTTGTTGACAAAGTAATGTCTCTGCTTTTAAATATGCTGTCTAGGTTGGTCATAGCTTTTCTTCCAAGGAGTAAGCGTCTTTTAATTTCATGGCTGCAATCACCATCTGCAGTGATTTTGGAGCCCAAGAAAATAAAGTCTGTCACTGTTTCCATTGTTTCCCCATCTATTTGCCATGAAGTGATGGGACTGGATGCCATGATCTTAGTTTTCTGAATGTTGAGTTTTAAGCCAAATTTTTCACTCTACTCTTTCACTTTCATCAAGGGACTCTTTAGTTCTTCTTCACTTTCAGCCATAAGGGTGGTATCACCTGCATATCTGAGGTTATTGATATTTCTGTCAGTGATCTTGATTCCAGCTTGTGCTTCATCCAGCCCAGTGTTTCACATGATGTACTCTGCATCTAAGTTAAATAAGCAGGGTGACAATATACATCCTTGATGTAATCTTCTCCCTATTTGGAACCAGTCTGTTGTTCCATATCCAGTTCTAACTGTTTCTTCCTGACCTGCATACAGATTTCTCAAGAGGCAGGTCAGGTGGTTTGGTATTCTCATCTCTTTAAGAATTTTCCAGAGTTTGTTGTGGCCCACACAGTCAAAGACTTTGGCATAATCAATAAAGCAGAAGTAGACTTTTTTTGGGAACTTTCCTGCTTTTTCGATAATCCAGCAAATGTTGGCAATTTGATCTCTGGTTCCCCTGCCTTTTATAAATCCAGCTTGAACATCTGGAAGTTCATGGTTCATGTACTGCTGGAGCCTGGCTTGGAGAATTTGAAGCATTACTTTACTAGCGTGTGAGATGAGTGCAGTTGTGTGGTAGTTTGAGCATTCTTTGGCATTGCCTTTCTTTGAGATTGGAATGAAAACTGAACTTTTCTGGTCCTGAGTTTTCCAAATTTGCTGACATATTGAGTGCAGCACTTTCACAGCATCGTCTTTTAGGATTTGAAATAGCTCAACTGAAATTCCATCATCTCCACTAGCTTTGTTCATAGTGATGCTTTCTAAGGCCCACTTGACTTCTCATTCCAGGATGTCTGGCTCTAGGTTGGTGATCACACCATCGTGATTATCTGGGTCATGAAGATCTCTTTTGTATAGTTCTTCTGTGTGTTCTTGCCACCTCTTCTTAATATCTTCTGCTTCTGTTAGGTCCATACCATTTCTGTCCTTTATTGTGCCCATCTTTGCATGAAATATTTCCTTGGTATCTCTAATTTTCTTGAAGAGATCTCTAGACTTTCCCATTCTATTGTTTTCCTCTATTTCTTTGCATTGATCGCTGAGGAAGGCTTTCTTATCTCTCCTTGCTATTCTCTGGAACTCAGCATTCAAATGGGTATATCTTTCCTTTTCTCTTTTGCCTTTAGCTTCTCTTCTTTTCTCAGCTATTTGTAAGGCCTCCTCAGACAACCATTTTGCCTTTTTGCATTTCCTTTTTTGGGGATGGTTTGATCCCTGCATCCTGCACAAAGTTTTGAACCTCTGTCCGTAGTTCTTCAGGTGCTCGGTCTATCAGATCTAATCCCTTGAATCTATTTGTCACTTTCACTGTATAATCGTAAGGGATTTGATATATAATGGTAAGGTCATACCTGAATGTTCTAGTGGTTTTCCCTACTTTCTTCAATTTAAGTCTGAATTTGGTAATAAGCAGTTCATGATCTGTGCACAGTCAGCTCCTGGTCTTGTTTTTGCTGACTGTATAGAACTTCTCCATCTTTGACTGCAAAGAATATAATCATTCTGATTTCAGTATTGACCATCTGGTGATGTCCATGTATAGAGTCTTGTGTTGTTGGAAGAGGGTGTTTGCTATGACCAGTGTGTTCTCTTGGCAAAACTCTATTAGCCTTTGCCCTGCTTCATTCTGTACTCTAAGGCCAAATTTGCCAGTTACTCCAGGTATTTCTTGACTCCCTACTTTTGCATTACTATCTTGTACATAAGTACAATTGTATCATTTTTTAAAGATTCTACATATAAGTGACATGATGTGATATTTGTCTTTCTCTGCCCTACTTCACTTAGTATGATGATCTCTAGGTCCATCCATGTTGCTATAAATGGCATTGTTTCATTCTTTTTTGTGGCTGTATAATATTCCATTGTATATATGTACCACATCTTCTTTATCTATTCCTCCGCCAATGGACATTTAGCTTGCTTCCATGTCTTGTCTATTATAAAAAGTGCTGCTATGAACATTGGGGTGAGTGTACTTTTTTGAATTAGAGCTTTGAAATACCCATATGACCATGTTGGCTCTTAACCTGAAAGCTCATCATATTT